AATGTTCGTCAGCGCAGATTTACCCGTATGATTCTGCGTGAGTTTGATAGAGATCCGACCACAAGTGTTAGGAGAGTTTCTGGTGCCTTGGGAATTTCAGCAAGCCATGTTCACCGTATTCTTAGAAATGACCATAGACGTCCTTACCATTTGCAACCTGTGCAAGGACTACAGCCAGGGGACGGAGAACGAAGAATCATTTTGTCAGTGGATTCTTGATAGAACTGATAATAATAGGGAGTTTTTAAGTAACGTTTTATGAAACGATGAGTCATGCTTCACTAGAAGTGGAGTGGTAAATTTTCATAATCAGCATATTTGGTCGCATGAAAATCCGCATGCAGTTCCGGAAAGAAATTTTCAGCATGAATTTAGTGTGAACGTGTGGATCGGTATCTACCGTAATCGACTATTTGGACCCTACCTCTTGCCTGCAATGTTAAATGCTGCGACCCTCTTGGAATTTTTAAAGGCTGAACATTAATATGTGGGATGACGTTATGTTAGATTTAAGAAGATTTGCCTGTTTCCAGCTTGATGGTTGTCCAGCTCATTATTCGAGAATAGTTAGAAACTGGCTGGACGAAAATTATCCAGAAAGATGGATCGGCCGTGGAGGACCAGTCGCCTGGCCTCCACGATTCCATGACCTAAATCCATTAGATTTCTTTGTGTGGGGATTTCTAAAAGAAAAAGTGTACAAGACTCCCGTACCCACAAGAGATATGCTAATAGACAGAATCAGGAATGCATGTGATGAAATAAGGCCTTATTTGAATAATGCTATACCACTTTCGATCATTCGTAGATGTGAATTGTGTATTGAACAATTTTGTTTACATTTCGAGCAACTAATTTAGATTTTGTATGTTTGTCCTAACTATCCAATAGCATTTTAGTTGTAAATAATTAGTTTAATTTGTTAAAAATAATATTGGAAAGTTAAACGAATTAATATTCTGTTTTTTTATGTTTATTACTTGTAATGCCCAAATCGAAAATGTAAAAAAAATATTATTTTCCCATAAATAATTAAAAATGCATTGAACCATTTTAATACACTACAGGTACAGTAGAGAGCGCCCTCTAGCGGTTACAGTAAAACTATGCCGTATGTCGTACCATAAAACCCTTGTATACCAATGTTCACTGTTATACATCAAATATTGTTCGAAATATTTAAAAAAAACTAATTTGAAAGTAAATTTAAACACCCTGTATTTCGGAAGCCACGCATTTTTCGACTCATGTTTATATAGACTTTATGCATTAATTTTAAAAGTTCTATCAAATCTTAATGTTATGCAATAATAAACTGAAACACCCTACGGATAGACCCTTCCAAGATAAGCATTTTGATATAACATACATGATTGGTGACTGAGTTATGAGCACCTCAATGTACAAAAACGCTCAAAGACAGTGACTTTAGATTCTAATATTATAAACTACTCAAAAGATCTTCAAAATGTGGTATCATTCTATCCTCCATTTTATTTAGAAGAATATTCCAAAATATCTTTCAATATGCAACACCCACTTTGTACACTAAAATATAGTACTCGTGCATCATCTTTTCATAATCTCGAACTTCAACTTCCTAACTTAACCCATTTAAAAAATAGGTAGCGGATGACGTTTTTGATAAAAGGCACTGTATAAATTAAATAAAAGTGGTGGCAATGTACCTATATACATCCTTGGCTGACTTTTCGACAATTTTATTTTACATTTGCTCCAGTATGCATTGCTTAAAAACTTAAGAGAGCAAGATGTCGGTGATATTTGACAGGCTAATTTCAGTGAAAAGTGGTCGTATCGAGACAGCGTTTCAAAGATCTAAGATTCTGGTTTTTAGCCGAAACATTTAGTAGCAACGGTTCCCACCGAATTCTTCTAACAGATAGCGAAAGAAAAATGTTTTGCAAAATGTTTTACTTCAGTTTTTAGTCCATGGGCTTTTTCTTTGTTAGATCATCAAATGGATCGGATAACCCATTAAGGAGCTTCAATGTTCTGTTTCTAAAATCTCGATACAATCATTTGGCGGATTTTTAATCGACAATTGATATCTTGGTAACCAGTGATCGCACAGAGAATGTAAGGGTATTTGCGAAAACTGGAATAAATCTTCAATAAAATTTGATTGCAATCTTTGAGGATTCTTTTTTGGTTTGCTTAGGGCCGATTTCACCAACATTAATATTATGGACCAATAGGAAAATACCTTATCGAAATGCTATTTGACGGAAGCTGTCAAAGGTCTCAGAATATCAGTGATTTCTGTTAAAATGTTGAATAAAATCGTGAAAATTCGACTCTATTATAAGCAAGACCACTTTTTGATTCCAACATGATGCTTTTGTACAGAGAAAACCGGACAACTTTCATGTATTTTGATTTATGTTATAGGTGTACATTTGACCATCCGTTATCTCCTCAGCGAATGGGAATGGTAGAAATAATAGGTCGATTTTCTAGCTGTTAAATTTGGCAGCAGGTTTGGTTGTTTGTTAATTCATGGCAATCTCGAAATTTGTTAAGTTCAATATGCTGTGTGTAGGTATATATGATCATTATAGCTACACATACCTGTTGAATCGTGCGGATTTGCAAGAAAATAGAATATAAAATGTATTCCAACCAATTCCTTATCTCTCTTTACATCATAATAGTAATCATTTGTTATAAATTCATGGGTTAATGAATTTCTTCAAAGCAATCAAAACAGTATGGTCGTCCCCATCCTAAAACACCGATATGTGTGAAACATGTTAATCCCTACATCTCCGAGGTGCATAATGCAATTACTGTAGACATAGACCTAAAATTATTAGTAATTACTGAAAATAAGAGCTAAAAAGAATTATAAATAGTGATAAAATATTGGTGGTTAAGGTTTTTGACTGGTGACTGGTGGGGATACAATATAGGGATGGCGACGATAGAGAAAGATTTTCCCCTGCCGGCCCTTGACATCGTTTCGAAATATGAAATTCTGGAACCGCTATAAAAATAAAAATGAATACACAAAGCCTACATGCCTATTTCAGACAAAAACACATAACGACTGTCACCTTGACATCAGTCTGCCATCTGTCAAAGGGCGTGCCTGCTGCACGGTATACGGTATCGATATTCGATAAAATATTTTTCTTTCTACCATGAATGGGTGGAAAAAACAAAATAAGGAGAGATCTAAAATAAGGAGTTATTGACGACCTAAAATAGCCAGGCGCTGATAATTCCTGGCCGTATTTGAATATCTAAGCAGGCACAGTAAAACAAAAATAAGACTTGGAATTAATAAAGTTTATTTCGACAGTTGGCAGAGTTTGCTCCACTGGGGCACTGGGACGAAGTGTTGACGGATCCCACAGAATTATGTGTCACTTGTCGATATGGTTAGTTTTATAATATCAGGAGATAATCAGCTGTTATTCAAATCAGTGTATATGTTTTGTGATTCAAATAACGTCTAATATAAATATAACCCAGAATATGTACTCAGTGAAAAAAGAAAAATATTGCAAATTTCTAGTTTTTCTGCAGGTTTTCGGTTTACTGGTAGCTCTACGACATATATTTGGGTATCCCTTAATCGCTGTGAATATAGTGTGGATGTCTGTTAAGTTCCTGAATAACGAAAAATATTCAACTTTATGGATGTATGGATATTAAAAAACCAGAATGGTTTTGTGGGAATATCAATCTAAGGTGCCATAATGGTTCTGATGAACGGCAAGTAAATCAATTGATGTTTGGAAACGAGCAATATCTATGAACTTTTTGGCTGTGCCAGTCATCAAGTAGGTGCTTAGTGGCTATCTGCAACAGGTTTATTGGAAAAAACACCCAGTAGATGATCTTGAATCAGTAAAATCGCATATCAATTGAAGCAAATTATATAGATATGAATAAAAATTCAACAATAGTGATTAAATCATGAATTTTATTCAAAAATCAAACATTTTTTTAAATTTTGACTGAATTATAGGTAATTTCTTAATATTCAATAAGCTGATGATGTTTCAATGACAAGTTGTCATCTCATACTTTGACAGTATTTTGTTTTCAACATTTCATAGCTATTGGTTGCTAAAATTTGTTGATTGGAACTTGAAGCTCATTCGTTGTATTTGACGGGTTGTTACCCTATAGGTGGAGAATAACGGACTGTTGTTGGTGAAATTGGCCCTTAGTATTGATTTTAAAGACGCCGGAAAAAGTTACTTTTTGCCTTGTGTTTGAAAATCTACCGCATTTTTGGAACTGTTAATGAGAAGGCTAATATTTTTTGGTTTTTTGACACCTTAATGTACCCCCTGCATGACGAATGCATTGTACGGTTTCTCCAGACTGATTCGTCAAAATTTGAAAAAAGTTGAAACTTTTGTATCAAAACGTGTAATCTGGTTGAAAATTGAAAAACCATATTTTGTTGTCATTTTTGGGTATCTGTAACATCGTCAATTAAAAAAAATCAATTGAAAATAACTTAAGATTCATTCTGGTTTTCGGAAATACCCTTACATTCTCTCTGCGATCCCTGGTTACCGAGACATCAGTCGACGACGAAAAAACGATCCTCCTGCATTCAAAGTCAGATATCTTTGTTTCAAGCTTTTAAAATATAAAATTGAAGCTGAATCCTATCCATACAATGGTCTAACAGAAAAGAATGTTCAAGCCCGTTGACTAAAAAGAAGAAGGCAAAAATTTTACAAAATGTTTTACTTGCGCTATCGGTGAAAATTGCAAGAAAACTGTTTCTCCAAAGATTTTTTGGATATAAATCCTGAAAACTAGATCCCAAAGCTTCAAAATACTGTTTCTAGAATTTAGACACACCCATTTTTTACCGAAAAAAAAGATTGCTGGAAAAGTTGGACTTTATTGTTTTATTTTTTTGAGTAGTGTAGGTTGCGTGTGTCTGTTTGTGTTTGTCAGTTATGATTTCCCTAAGATGACCATATTGACTAATCTACCTATAATTTCAGGTTTCTTCAAGACTCCAAGGCAAGGTTGCCAGACTTCAGTGTACCTTGCGTGCTCAGAGGATGTACAAAACGTAACTGGCAAATACTTCATGGACTGTGCGGAAGCTTCACTTAGTAGCTCAGCTAAAGATGAGTCAAAGGCCAAGAAACTGTGGGAGGAGACCGAGAAGTATATCAAGTTTAGACCTGAAGACCCCAAGATATGAACTGTCGTCATGTTTAGTGACCACCAAAGTCTAGGGTGTTTTTACCACAATATCGTCGATTTTTAAAACGGTCCCAATGAAAATTGTTCACTGAAGCTCCTATTTCAAATTAGTTTCAACAAAGTGCAAAATCTATACTGATGCTCCAGGTTCATATAAACCAGGTAGGATCTTCGAATCTCATCGGAAAAATATACTGATTCAGATTTTTTGCATGAACTTTTTAATGAATCCGCATGTTCTTTGGTCCTTTGCGCCAAGGAACGTTTTGGGGCATTTTGTTTAAACTGATTTCAAAAATTGGTATGTCAAAGTGTTGATAGGAAATTCAGAACAAAAAATGATACTTAATACTTAAAGAATATTTAGGAAGTTCGGCAACATTGAAGTTTTCGTTTTTCATGTTATTCAGAGTCAAAATGGCATATTTTGCAATTTTTCAGCGGTTATGTCACCAACTAATAATTTTAGAAAAATTTATGATGCACCTTTTCATTTGATAATGTTCTAAAAAACCTAAAAACACTTTTAGTGAAGCGAAAAATACAAAAAAAGATTTTTGAAGTTTTTACGCAAATTTGTGTCTGGCAACTTGTAGATTCATTGAAAAGGGCGCTTTTAAATACAATTATGCAAAAAATCCAAATCAGAATATTTTTCTCATTGGATGCGAAGATACTGCATGGTGTAATAGGAGGTTTTTCTAAATTACATTTTCAATACTCTTTAATTTATTCTTTGACAACTAGCTTATATATGTCTTTGTTTTGTTTACCTAGAATGTTCGATCGTCCTTTTTTATTAGCAGAGAATATATAGATCTTTGTATTTATGTTTTTTACATCTACACATACTTTACTTTCTGAAACAATAAATAAAACAGTATAAACAGATGCTTCTAGTATTATTGCTCACCTAAACGGTTTCTGGAAACTTCACAGTATGGGATTAATATGTGGGAGAGGGTCCTACTTCAAACGTTAAGCACATGCCAAAAAGTGACAACACATTACAGTGACACGTTTGTGACAGAGACGCTACCCATACTGCTTCGCACTTGCAAAAAGCAATTGAGAAGTTTTCATATTCCATCGGAATCAACAAGTCGATACGACCAATGATCATGATCACATTGTCAAGTCAGCGAATACATAAACGAATCAATAATTATTTGTGAAATTAGTTCCGATACCTAGTGAGTACCAACAGGTTCACTAATGCCAACAGTATAAAATTAAGAATATGCATTAAATTGTATTGGAATACGATAGGAAGATATAGGAAACAGTTCAAGCGTTGCCAAGTAAAGTTTTCCAAGAAAAACCTGTTACTGTAGGTACCTTAGCCTTAGGTTTGAGCGGTACGTATCAGACAACTTGGCCTTATGTAGTCTAGAACCAAGTTGGAAGAAAGTAGCATGATGATATGACACATTCTACGCTACTGCCAATTCCATCTATGTTTGTCTACGTAAGTATAGATTCCGCTTTTCGGGGAACTTCAAACTTTAAGACAAAGGACCCTGCATAAAAACATGGAAAATAGGTCCTAGTCGATTTGTTTGAAAATTCAGCACCATATACTTTTTGTCGTCTGAAAGTTTCCATGGAACCAAAGCAATCCTACGATTAGCTTCTGAGAAATAGGACCATGGAATTTCCTGATTTGCAAAAATGGTGAATGTGTAAGCAGAATAGATTTTGAAATTCCTTGAGAAAACGTATAAAAATAAGTTTGTCCTCGAACTGACCTTGTAAGGATCATGGACAAGACTATCATGACGCTTCACAAGATCTTCTTTTCCTTTAAATTTTTCTTTCTTTAGTATAACAATTCTCTGCGGTTTGGTTCGTGAACTACAATCCGCGCATTCACCATTTTCGCAAATAGGTCAAACTTCCTTACCCTATTTCTCAGGAACTAATCATAGGATCGTTTTAGCTGCATAACAACTTTTAATCAGCAATGCAAGAAATATATTCTGCTAAATTTTTTGCCAAATCGACTGAGCCTTATTTTTCATAAGCTTTGTGCCGGGTCCTTTCAGAAATGCTAGAGTGTTTTACAAGCTTGACCAGCTGTTCCTTGGGTAAATCGGTTGCATAAGAATCATTTTGTCGCTGAAATCGACTGGAGGCTCAGAAATTTTTGTTTGTGTGAATAGGGCTGCGTGACACTTTATCACCTTCAGATGGCCATTTTAAAAATCAGCAATCCAAAATGGAAATTTTGCATCAAGGAACTTCAAATATTGAATACTGAAGAATATTATGGGGTATTTTGTAATACCGATTGAAATTCCTTCCTCGAGTAGATCGGTTAAGTAGATCACGAATATGGCGCCTTAACAGGGACGTACGATGCGTTAGCTACTGTCCTCCATTATGATACATGACTATAGTAAAGAGCCTAGGTTCTATGATTGCTCAGAAAAGACGGTGCAATGTGATTATGCAACTCTTTCTGTGCTCATATAGAAAAGAGGCTATAACTAGCTTCATATATTACAGAAGGCATGAGGCTTAAGAAAGGTTGACAATGGCACGGCCAGAGGAGAAAATAACAATAAATTACATTAAAATTTTGTAAATTTTATTACGTAAAGTAATTTCCATTACATGGTGTTGTTAACATTATGTCGTCAGGAGAAAAAAGTATTCTCTGTAATGACTAAGAATCCAGTAGAAGGAAGACCGGAAACTTTTCCACGTGTAGATTTTGTTATGAAAGTCAGGAAATTTACTATAGCTATAGTCACCGTTCTTGGAGGTTACGTCATCAACTCCATATGAAATAAGTAAACAGATCGGGTCTCCGTACCATGGGCTGATCTTAATCTTCAGTGTATCTGCTGCTCTCTCCAGTACGCATGAAATGAGTAAAAGGGGACCGCTGTTTTCATTCTCTTCCTGGAAAATAAATAAATTTAGCACGAGCTGTCGGCCTTCTCCATTGATCGTATTTCCGGGCATTGTACAATTTTATATTGAATGTTTATAACAGGACAACTCAAATTGCGCGTCGGTGTCAAGTAAGTTGTCATTCTGACAAACATGATTGAAGGGCACTCATACGTAATGACAAAGCCTTCCAGACGGAGACACACAACTAAAAAACGTATGTCTTGGAGCTTACCGAACAAACGTTCGCACACAGGGGGAGTTGCATGTCTATGTATGAGGGAGACAGGGGTGTCTGCGAAAGGTTGGGAAATCTCGAAACTGGAATAGACCAAAATATGTGAATTGACCTAAACATACCTTTGTCAAAAAGTTGATAGTTTGCTAGATACAGAGTGTCATAGTTACAATTTTATTTTCTATTTTTCCTTAATGCTTGAGAAGTATTTTAGTTTTGTGCATAAAACTTGGTAGGGAGAAGTGTTATAGTATGGAAAACACGAATCCGTTATTTTTTATACGCAAACTTCTAGAGAACGCCGCTTACAGCACAATTTCTGTAAATAACATATCATATTTTCTTTGTGCTACCCTGTATACAACTGACTGGAAAATCTCATTTTCTCGTATTTGTACCATGATGATAAAACATTTTTATAATACACCTAATAATCAACTGGCTTTGGATAATATCTGAGTAGCGTTGCTATGGTTTCTAATGTTTGTCATAATATTTATTTATTTATTTATTTACTCATGTTTGGGATGCAACAGAATGTGAATTCCAAAGACAGCACCCGCTGCTTACGATAGTGATAAATTAAAAAGATACATAGATTACAAAATCCAGAAGATATGAAAATCTGTAACACAAACCTACTATATGAGAATAAACAATACTATGTTATAGCAACTACTATAAAACGATATTAATTTAAATTTTTGTTTTTAAAATAATGCTAATGCATATATCAGTTACACTATTCCATGAATAGCACTAGTCACCAAAAAAAAATCAAACAGCACGTTACTAGACAGCTTTGAAAACAAAACATAAAATACTATATAAAAGTATTAATGGTTGACAACAGTATCACAGCAAACAAACAATTAGATAGTATGATACTATTCTATGTAAGCTGCCTCCTTGCCGTTGCTTTAAACTTGTTAAAATTAACCACAAAAATATCCAAATTTATAGACGTATCGTTAAACACCCTCTGGGCCCTAATTACAGGTGAGTTGACTCCCAAATTCGTTCTACAGAAGGGAATCCTGAAAAACTTGGAATGGCGGCAGTTTCTATCTGGCACATTAATATTTATTTTTGAAAACAAATAGGGAGAGTCAAAATTGTTGATTATTTTGTATATAAGACACACGTCGGACATCATTCTTCTTCTTTTTAAGGTCACGATATTGAAATGCTGTCTAATATGATCATAGTTTCCGTCACGTACCGGATTGCCGATTTTAAAACTTAATCTCTTCAGGAATCTATTTTGTACACTTTCAATTCCATTTATGTATATAATATACTGTTAGTTCCATATAACGGAAGCAAAGTTCAACTTGTTATAAATATATGAATAATATAGGGATGTCATGGCTCTTGCACTCTTGAAATCCCTGCAGATTTTACAGATAAATCCCAACATTTTGTTTGTTTTCTATGTGTGGTTGGAAAGTCATTTTTGCATCTAGGAGGACTCCTAGGTCCTTCACTACATCCGTTTCCTAAAAAAGGTATATTTTTGATTTGGTACCGGTATTCTATCAGAGATTTGTTCCGGGAGAGTCTAATAAAAGTACATTTATGAGCATTTAGAAACAAATCATTATTGTCACAAAAATTGACAAAAGTATCTATATTACTTTGTATTTCTTGACAGTCATTAATGTATCTCACTGTATGGTATATTTTCAAGTCATCGGCGTATAATAGACAATTTGCATATTTAAGGGATATCTTTAACTTGTTGATAAAAATTATAAATAATAAAGGACCTAGGTGACTTCCTTGAGGGACGCCAGACGTAACCGTAACTGGCAGCGACTTGAAACCGTTGATAGCTACAATTTGCTTACGATTGGTAATGTAAGACCATATCCAATGACATAGTGCATCGTCGACACCAGTCTCAGCAAGCGTTTCAACCAGCAATTGCTGGTTGAAAGGCTTGAAGCCAATATTGCTTTAAACTTGAATAATTTTAAATTGACAACAAGTTGTTGAACATCATGCAGTATACGTTTGATGAATATTCTGATATGCTCTTAATGTACGAATTGGCAAGATGTAATGCTTTAAAAGCACGAAGATCGTACGCTGACAGATTCCCTAATAGACACCTGTTTAATTCAAAGACTTTCCAAAGAATCCATCAGCGGTTACGAGAAACTGGTAAGAAATGATTATAGCCTTAGTTTGAGTAGTAAAAACCATTTGAATTTTAGGTACTTTTGCCCAAAATATGGGCTGACATAGTGGAGCTCCCAGAACCGTACGTATAGCAGAAGTCGAAGAAAGTTGTGCAGTTGTGCATGGGTAGAATTTTGCACATGGCTCTTAAGGAAGTCTAGCCACGACAATGGTTTTACTTCGTTAATATTATTTTCGGACGAAGCATAATCTTCACATTTATGCAGACGAAAATCCTCATGCAATAATAACGGGTGTTTTTTTTCGAGGTATAGAACTTTAAGTTGGAATTACATTTGAAGATGGCGACCGATGTGACAGCTGTCAAGTGATTTATTCTCAGTTTGGTTTGGCAATCCATCATGAATAGACTCACGTCTGAACAATGCTTGCAAATTGTGCAGTTTTATTTCTAAAATAGTGGTTCTGTGCGGATACGTTTCGCGCACTACGCCCATTTTATCGTCGACAAAATCGTCCATCAGAGCAATTAATTTGATTAACCATGGAACATTTTCGCACCACGTCTACTCTAATTGATAACTCGCATCCCCAGAGACGCCGGACGGTG